TTCTCACATTATTCACGTGAAGCTTCTCGAAATTAAGCATCTTTTTGTTGAGGGCTTTTCCTTAATCTCTTTCTAAAAGCTTTCAGGCTTGATCATGGATAGATATTAGTTAGGGAACCACTGGAAACCATAAAGTACTGGACAGTTATTTCTCCCTAGTTTCAAAGTCTTTGGCAGTATGCACCCATGACGACACCATCCTGGGTCAAAACCGGGACCTTAAGGTTATGAAATGAGGTCATCAACTATTCCACCACTGGAACAGAATCCAATGGCCCATAAATACTAACTCTTATCAATTCGCGGATTTTCAGTACCTCCCTCCAGTCAAGAATTATTCACACATTTAGTCTCCTTTTGAACAATGTCTTTACTCAGATATCGAAATACTAGGATGTTTGGAAATTTCAGAAATTAATAAGCTGTTAAAAGTAAAATATAAGCCTCTCAAAATTAATTAAGGATTCATTAATTTCAAGAGCTTCTAATCACTCAAACAAAAGGACATTAAACTTCTTTAATTCATTCCAATTCATGGTGTTATTTCCTGTAGCAATAAGCCTAAGTGTATGCTATTGCTTTCAATGAGAAATCAACACTAGTTGTAATATGTATGGAAAGTGATGTTTATACCTTTTTTGGCATTTCACTGTACGAACTAAAACAATCATCTAACTAACCAAATACTGACTTGTTTATGTGTAGCTTGATTTCTTCATCGAGGAAAGAAAAGCAGTCAGACAAACAAAAAGTAGCAGATATTTCTCATAGAGTTGACTAACCAATTGACTGTTAATATGCATGCTAAACGTCTTCTTTGTCAAACACTTTTACTTTTTTTATAAGAAATTTCAGCCAAAGAAACTCTATCAGCAATCAGGAAAACAGGTTTTTTCAAGCTGTCAAGTGTAGATATTTTTTTATTGGCATTCTTGCGTGACAACAAAACCCTGAGACAGTTGACTTGACTGCAGAATATCTCAGAAATTTGACAATGATTCTGTCAAAAAGAAACAAAAAACTAATAAACTGAATTGATGATCTGTCTTCTATAGGAGTCAACAAACGTTTTTACTTCATTTATTTGTAGAATATGCTCACATTGAATTTCTCATCTGCCTGCTTAAAACTGTCACCTCCTTCCCCATCCTAGTCAGTATGATGCTCGTAACTTCATTTATTTCAAAATGTCTATTGATAACCAGTAAAGACATTCATACCAGGTTTTTAATTCTACTAAGGCAAAAAGCATAGAGCATAAATTGTCAGTTTAAACTTAAAGATAAGTCTTCATATTTTATTAACTAGTAGAATCGAAAAGGCGTTAGTAGTTCAGGGGTAAATGCTCGCCAGGCATATTTTATAAACCAATATTAAGCCTGGAGAAGAAAAAAGACTCAACCTGAAGCCAGCAGCTCTACTCCTATGTTTCACAGGATTAACTCAACTTTAAGCCGACATGTCCTGTGTGCAAACATTGTTTAAAAGAGTTAAAACATACTGTAGCACTCCAGTGTTGAAGAGAATGGAGGAAAAATACCTACTAACTGTCTTCAAATAGAATGGATATCCTCACAATATCATCAAAAAGCGTTTAAACTCGATTCATAACAAAATCAACAAGCGGACATTAAAGACCAAAAGAAAATCCATCCTGCCATTTATAAAAATATCTCTGTAATAACCATTAACATATTAAGACCGTTTTAAATAGATATAGAACATAAGTCTCTTCATTCTGCGTTGGTGGCACAGCGGTTAGGACCCTCGTCGACCATGTACATGGTCTGGGGTTCAATCCCCTGCCTACGCACATCCGATATCAGTGGTCGGCCTGCAAAATTTGGGCTATCGAGATCACATGCTGAAAATTTCATACTTGTACCAAAAATATGGTGTGGAGTCAAGCTATATAAAACTATTTAAAAAAATCAATAAAATAAATTCACAATCACTTCATTCGAAATTGTGCAAATCAAAAGATTCAACAAAAGGAGAAGGTAAAATTAATACCATTTACAAAATAAACAGTATGAACAGCAATAAACAATGCATCGGTCAAAGTGGACATCCCCCTCGAATTCGAGTCCAAGAACACAAACTGACGGTAAAAAGGAATAATAGATATTCTTTCGAATCAATGCATGTGGATAATTATGGACACAAGTTTGATTGGGATAACATAGAAGTTTCAAATAGAGGAAACGAAAAAGGTTGTCGCAGGAAATCCCTAGAAGCCTGGTACTCAAGTGAATCAGTGATTAACAAACACATTACTATGGACCCCATTTATCAGCTAATAAAAGGTAAATCGAATGACAAGAAAGTTTGAATTCCAAGTAAATAAAAATGATTCGTAGAGACGTAAATTAACATCCAGTCAGAACAGCGGTTGCCAGGAGATACAATTACGTCATTCATGGATAATTTAAATAATTCCATTTTATACTAAAAACTGCCCGCTGAAGATGTTGTCTAGATGTGGGACGATGGAAGCTTCACAATTAAATCAACTAGCTCAGAGGACGCAACTATTTCAATGCTGACATGTTCTAATATATTAACCAGTTCTAAGCTCAGAAAAGAATAAATAACGTTAGGCGTAGGGCTAACACTCGTATGACCAGATAAATTTCAATCCATAAGACTTGAAGCTCTATTTTCCATTCACTTGTTAAAAATTAAAATGAACAGAACCTTAGCATCAAAACTGTAGTTAAGAAAAACAACAATGAATGGAGTATGATGGCATACCTTGGATATATAGCTGCTATTACCTGTTTCAAGTGCTGTCTATGGATTATTTTCATTCATTTGTAAAAAAAATGGTTTTCCAGTGAACGATAAGACCGAACTGATATCTTTATCTATAGTCTTCATAAAATAGATGATCGGTGAAGAGTCATGCGAATAAATATATTAAACAAAGCGAGGACGAACATTTCTTATCCCACAAATACGTTTGTTCTCACTTTTCTCTAACTTTTTTAGGGAGATGGTTGTATGAAGTAAGTTACTGCTATACACGTCACTTTGATCTCAGTCGAACTCTACACAGGGTCATTTATAAGCCACTTTCTGACCAGATAAAGTTGGTAAAAGAGGACTTTTACCTGAATACAGAAGTTACATGTTGTATTCCTAACTGTTATATATATATATATACATATATATAACCAAATCATCATTTACAGACATTTATTAAGAAGTAGTATGAATTATAACCAACATAATAAGTGAAGTATTAATGACCATAAAATTTTCTCCTTTTCCGACAAGTTACCCATGGAGGTTACTCCAAAAAGAATATTCTTTTTCTAGTTGGTATATATATAAAATGTCTAAGACGTTATCTGAACAATGCAGGAAACTATCATTTTGACCGGTTACAAAAAGTAATGAGACAAAAGGGAATGATGCAGTACCGTAACATAGACGAACACCCACATTGAATATCCGCAGAGCCCTTTATAAGAACGAATAGAGCTATAAAAAGATATCCCGTATACTGTTCCATGGAAACACCGTTTTTCAAAGGCAATTTAGTCTGGTTATCCCATATTAGTTTGTTTATTAGGTATATCACACAGTGAAGCAGTATTATTTACTGGATGACACAGTTTCGAACAAAATTTATTGTTCATAATCATATCAATTGTGATTATGATTATGAACAATAAATTTTGTTCAAAACTGTGTCATCCAGTAAATAATACTGCTTCACTGTGTGATATACCTAATAAACAAACTAATATGGAATTACTTACTACCACAGTGCCCAAGTTTTACACATATATTAGTCTGGTTATCGTCTAATTTTTGTCCAGAGTAATAGCCTAAACTAAAATCATATCCAGACGCCAGTAGAATGAAAAACGTATAGATTGTGGAGATGACCTATAGTAGTCAACTGCGTTCTAACAAAATACATGTATTATGTACAGTCCATCATCAGTTTTTACGGCATTAGGCATCATTTCAAACGGGAGAAAATGATGATAAAATCTAAATGATGATGAGTTATCACTTCTGATGACTGTCACACTAGAAAGAAAGAGACTTTCAGATGCCTGTTTCTCTTAAATTATTGTTCATTTCATGTTAGTCAAATATGCAGAAGAAGGCAACAATGCCTATGAACACGTAGAGGAATGCGTGCTGGAAGATGATTCGTGATTGACGTTCATAGTACTTATATGCGACAGGTGGCACAGCTATTAGGACGCTCGCCGACCACGTACATGGTCCGGAGTTTGATCCTTGGCCGACGCACCCCTTTACCTCGATAAGCCAGTAATAGTGCTGGTAAAGAGGGAGGGTTGGGCATGAGGCTAACAACCCCATCCTGTAAAACTAAACACTGCTACAGAAACTTCGAGCGTCTTTTTTGAAGCCCTATGTTCCACTGGGAACGTGAAGGAATAAAAAAATATGCTTTAAAAACGTTCTTTTTTATGAAAATAAGCGATTTAATCAAAAATCTCAAAAGTATTGGTTATTCTCACAGCGACTACAGATATAGACTTTATTCATTAATAAGTAAAGTAATAAACCTGTAAGCAATCAAACCAACACTTGGAAAGCAATCCGATGCACACTGGTGACTGGTTCTATTCAATAATTTACTTGCAATTCAAGTGAAAAGTAGTGACCACTAGGGTACAGCAAGTCAGGTAAGAGAACAGTTACTCACCGATAAAACTGACCGGTGGTGGTACTATAAATCGAAAATTAGCATATTTTGGATTTCATAGGCTATTGGACCGAGTACCAGTGACTTAACGGTCTAAGGGCTCGCCTTGTAACTGGAAAGCTCTTGGTGTGAGTCATGGATAGTGTGAGCTACAGAAGAGTCACAAAATAGGACAGAACATTTGTCCAGTACTCCCGATATCAGGTGGTGACCAGACCTATGGTCAATCAAATGCCCACAAATCCACAAAATTGTTTTCATCAGACATACACTATGTAAACAAGTATTTCTGTTTCCTATTTTTTAGCTCTTATGCATGCAGCAGTATTTGGTAATGTGACAGCAATCATTCAACGTATGTATGCGCGTCGTACAACATTTCAGTCAAAAGTTCAAGATTTAAAGGAATTTATTGAAGTACATAGAATACCAAAATCATTAAAAAATAGAATGGAAGATTTCTTTCAAACAACATGGGCTATCAATCGTGGAATTGATGTACCAGATGTAAGATTTAATTTCTTTACATAATTTTGCATCCATCATTTGACATAAAACAACTAAATTAGTTTTTCATCAGGACATTAGATTAAATGACAAGGAAGAAGCTTCGGCTAGTTTAAGCAGAATTAATTACCACATTTGTATGTTATTACCTAGAAAGCCACTGAAGTACGCGTAAAGCTAAGTTATTACTTCGTCCGACAGCTACGAATTCAGCATATACTATTGGTAGTGTTATTCATCTAATTCTGTGAAACCTCCTACAGCCTCTGGTAAAGAAAATGCGAACCAATTCGTTTAGAAAGTTCTCATGAGAAATACTTATCTATTTAGATGAATGAGAATTCCAGATATATTTTATCTTGAGTAACTGTTCATCTTTCTTTTTTTTAGTGTTTTTCATTCCTTTGATTACAGAGTGGCTCACAAAGTTTCAGACTATGAAGTTCCATTAGCAATGATGCTTATTTACGCACCCAACATTGGTTTTTTCCAATCTGACTACCGGTTAATAAACTAGGCCAGGGTTAAGTGTGTGTTGGTGGTTTAACAGTAGAATACTCACCATCGATGCTCAAAGTATGGATTCAATTCTTGGTCAGCAAACTCCTAAAGATGGCCTACTCTACTAGCTGGTAGACAGTCCGGAAAACAGAAGAGTTTGGATGTGGTGCTAGAAAACCCACCTCAATAGAGAACAAAACTACTGCTACTGAAGCTTCAAAGCCTGAAGCACTATGTTCCACTGGGGACACTAGGAACGAGAAAAATGTCTTTACTGTGGTTTATATTCCTGTAGCTCATAAGATTTGGGTTTCAGCTAATTGCATACTATGAGAAATTAAAATTTAGTCACAAATTTAAAAAGTATATAAAATCCGTTTTATTTATTTTACAAATTTATTCGGTATTTTCCTTTTTTAGGTTTTAAAAATTTATCCTGAAGAATTACAAGGTGATATTTACTTACACTTAAATCGTGAAGTACTTGGTCTAAAAGTATTTGAAAAAGCCGATCGTGATTGTTTAAAACGTCTAGCGGTTAATTTCAAATTGACATTTTGTACACCTGGTGAATATTTAATACATACTGGTGATATTCTTCGACGTTTATACTTTGTTTCAAATGGATCGTTGGAAGTGTTAGAAAAAGATGAAGTGGTTGCACTTTTAGGTAAGAGGAAATATTTTTCTCTCTGTTAAATGCACTCTCCTTTTCCTTAGGAATTACTTAAATAATGAAGAAAATTTGTGGCTCAGATGGATATTTTTTGGTGTTAGTGTGTTTTCTTATCCGAATGATTTTTTGAGGTAGCTTTCATTTTCTGTTTTCAGTGTTGACTAGGAAGGTAATGAGGTCTTTACAACCAATCCATGTAGCTCAGAGAACACAGCAACATCAAATGGTGACTAATTCAGTGTTAAAATTGAGTTGGACAGTTTTTAAACTTATTGGAGATACAGTATAAGTTAATTTACTATCGTTTACACAGAATCTAAAACAGTTAGAAACATGCGTAATTGTATAGCTATGTGCTTCGGTCATTTTAGTGTAAATTGTATGAAAGGAATAACACAATAACACACAAATACACAACACCCCACTGAAAAAGGAAGATAGAGGAATAACAAGCCCTGAGAAGTGTTGTAACGGAAAAATAAATCCCTAATGATGGTAGATGCAACTTAGCTTAGTTGGATGTTTACTACAAGCTAGACTGGTGAAATTGATGATAATAGATGGTTGGAGGCAACCGGCAGGAAGCCTTCCACCTAGGTTTCATGCTAGCTGGCACTCACCAGTCAGCAAGGCGTATCTGCAGCCTTGAAGGAACTCATGCCCCTTCTGAGATTCAAACCCACGTCACCCAGTGCTGCAGTCAGAGACGTTACCACTGAGCTATTTGGGCTCGCGATTGACCTCCTGTAGGAGTGTATTGGGTATTTTCATTGGACGCTTGTAACTAGTGTGACGTGTCTAGTCCTTTCTTTGGTTCAGGCAGACTGAATTCTATCAGTCAGGTTTTGTGATGTAGCCACCATTCTAAGTAGCTCGCCATCATGGTGCACACTGATTTGATGGCATTAGATGGTTGCAGGCAATCAGCAGGAAGCAATGTATGTAGTTTATTGGCTTTCTCAACTATGCTGGTAGTCTTTCACTAATCCAGAACCCGTATAAACTCACAATTACATACTGCAAAGGTTACCATTAGCACAGAAATAAAGTAATCCAAATAGACTACAAACATTTGACAGCTAACAGAATTCAAAACGAACTCTCATAAAGTAAAGGACTGAAATAAAAAATATTCAAGAGGCTAAAACGATAGCGGAATAAAGTATCACTGAAATTATTCTACTTGGTAAAACCTCTTGTACGGCCAAATAATATTATGACAATAAGAAGGATATCATGAAACGTTTCCGCAAACAAAGTTCAGAATTTTTGTGTGTGAATGGAAAGAAAGAGCTGATGACAGTGGTTTTAGTGAATTGATAGTACCAGTGTATCACTCTGACTGAAATGTTTATCATACCTGTCTAAATAAAAAGAATAATATGCAATTACGAGTACCGAAAACTAAGCATAGTGAGATAGCCAAATACAGAGTAGGTGAAACAGTCAACATTATTTAATAATGTTTACCCTCAATGAACTGCCACCTTATCATGCACTTCCTCTTTTCTTATTCCTATGAGTTCTCAGTGGAATATAATGCTAGAGCTCCGAAGTAGCAGTGGTGTTGTTTTATAGGGTGGGGTTGCTAGATTCGCTGCCAACCTTTCCTCTATATTGGATCTACTAGAGCTGGTTTATTGATCGCGTCAGCCAGGGGTTCAACCGCAGACCGCATACGTGTTTGACAGGCATTCTACCACTGACCCACGAACAGACTACGTTTTTTTAGTAGGCATATCATATAGTGAACTTATGTTGCTTACTGGATAATGTTTCGAAGTAAACCAGTCGCTGATAGGGAAATTGAAGTAAATTTCAAATTCATTTCACCACTCTCCTGGCTTAAACAAACTGTAAAGCGAATAGAATTCAAATAACTGAAAAATTAGTAGGAAGTCCCGAGTCAAGGTTTTATGCATAGCCACACTCGTCAGAAAAACGCATCTGCAACCTTGACGGAACTTACGTGCTTCGGTGTTGTAGTCAGAGAAGTTACCACTGACTTATTTGGATGGAGGATGCCTTCCCGTAGGACTGGATAAGATACACTAATTAACCAGTGTTATTTACGGTTTCTACTGACCACTCAGTTGTATCATTTAAGTCTGTGGTGTGGCCACCAGGCTGGAAGACTGACTATTACCACGCACTCTGAAGTGATCCTTAATTGCTGCAGGCAATCACAACCTCACTAAATTAGAGATAACGTCTGTGGTCACAGTAATGGTTGATAAAGATGCAATTTTCAGAATGAAAATCAATTTCTTAAAGTATAAAATTATTCTCTGCTAAGGAGTTATAAGAAAGACGCAACCGGGATCCAGGTTGTCCTGTTGATTTACTTCGTCTGGCTTATATAAATCCTTAAGAGCATTGTTATAGTTAGTCCTTAAGTTTGCAAGTCACACCGAACACTGAACTCATAGAATTTAATGAGGACTGAGAAATTAGCAAAATAACAATGCACCCACCATAGTAACAAACCACCGATAGGGAGATTCCTCATATATCTGGATCATTATCACTTCATATGTTTACCTCTAGTCCAATGAACAAGACTTCAGCTGTCTGTCTTTTATTTCACACTCTCGTGTTTATGATATATATGTATATATATATATATATGACGTCATCCATTCCTACAACTGACATTCGTAATACACTTCATTAGCTGCTAAACTTAACTAGTCTGGATTTGTCTAAGTTTGCGCTTCAACAGTCTGAACGACTCAGCTAGAAAGTTCTTCGCAATTTTAACATAACGCCAATTCTCAACTCTTTTCGCCTGTCTGAGTAAATAATTCAATTTTCTTCTGTTAAGTATTTTTCTTTTCCTATCGACTGTAGAAATCCATCCTTTCGCCTTCAGTATTTAATAAATGCTCATTAGGAATTTAAATGTTTCCCAATAGTGGTCTCACTCAACAATTTTAAATGAAATTTGAATGTCTGTTAGTGATCACAGCTTATAGCAAATATAACATTGAACGTTGAATTAACAATTTGTAATTATATAAGAATAAATCAAAAGAAAAGTGGGATCTTATTAGTATATCAAGAGAAAGATTATTTAAAGAGCATGTAGCAATAATGAAATCATTCAACCAGAAGATAACTGTTTCAGAAATCAATTTTCTATTGAGTGTATCACCTAAGATGTGTGGGTTGACTGAGATCTACCGAAATAAGCATATTTTATATAGCATGAAAAAAATTCTAATCACCTGCTCCCAAATTATTTTACGCACGAAACAAAATGTTACAGTTACTGGAAACACAAAACACACAAAACATTTATTATTTCTGGATATATATGCATATACATATGTATATATATCATATCTAAACTGGGATCGAGTTATTACGAACCGTATTTTACGCAGAAAATGTAGTGGCATGATTTGGTTGATGTTGCCGCGTGATGAAATCTAGGGTATGTATTTACTTCTCTCTGAAATTTGTCAGCTGAATACACATACATTCCAGTTAATGATGGTGTTCCTACTGAGACTTTGAGTGACTACATAGGAAGTGGTAAATTGATATAAGTATAAAACGTAGGCACTGTGGTAGAGCAAAATAAATCAAAATAAAATCTTATCAATAATGAAGTGGTAAATTGGCCCCGTGAATAGCTTCTTGACGTTCTAAACGATAGTTACTCAACTGAAGCCCCAGTGAGCACATCATCACTAATTGAGGATTCAGGTAAAACCTTTTGATGAGTCTGAAACCTGAAGAATTTCACATCCTGAATTCCACTTCCCTGCGATATTGACCAAATTGTACTACTTATAGCGAACACCAGCGTAATTGCATCACGAATTTGAAAATAATCAAGTAAGCGATTTGATATCTTATTCTACCGCTAGTGCGTCAGTGGCACAGCGGTAGAGTGCTCACCGACTTCGCAGGTGGTCCGGAGTTCGATCCCCGGCAGACGCACTCCTTTACCTCGATAAGCCAGAAATAAGAATGGTAAAGAGGGAAGGTTGGGCATGATGCTAACGACCCCATCCTGTAAAAATAACCACCACTGGGAACGTAAAGGAGTAAAAACATTTTCCCGTTAAATACAACTTTTCTGCTTAGTTCATGCGAAAACTGATATTTGTCACTGGAGGTATAACTAAAAGAATTAGAAAATCAGACTTTATCAGTGTTTATTTAGCTCTAACTTCAGTTAGTTGGATTAAGGAAAGTGAAAACATCTTCAGTTTAGATTCCAATGCTACACGTCATGCTCAAGTAGATCATAGAACCTCTAGCTCAGCCTCATCAAATATTAGAAAGCCTTCGATAGGCTTGGCTCTTAGTAATTTGAAAACCACTTCAACACTACAGAGTCCCCCAAACCCTCATCAAACTTATCCAACAGCTATATGATAATGCCACATGTCAAGTGATTCACACAGGAAAACTCAGCATCACCTTTGAGGTGAAGACCACAGTAAGATAAGACTGTCTACTATCATCGATGATATTCCTGATTACGGTGGAATTGATGACGCATCCAACTGTGAGGATCGAGAAGACAGAAATATGCCGGACTGGTTAGAAGGTTTTAGAAGATCTGAACTTCACAAACGATTTATGTTTACTGTCACATGAACTCGAAGATCTATAGGCGAAAACTAAAAAGTTGGCGGAAACAGCGTGCAACGAAACCGTGACTTAAAGGGAACAAAATGAAGACTGAGGGTGATGAAGATAACCTATGACAGCAAGTTGCAATCCCTAGCAACTACATAAATTCGAGGGATGTCACCTCTTCCACTTATCTAGGCCGCATTGTTTCAGCTACAGGTGTCACTGATGAAGATTTCAAAACCGGAACGGAAAAGCAAGAGAGACATTCATTACTCTGAAATCAGTCTGGAAATCTGTTGCAATCAGCATGAGGAGCAATATCAGCATCTTTCACACTAGTTTCACATCAGTGCTTCTATACAGTTCAGAGATTTGACATGTCACCGAAACCATCTGCACCTTACTGTCAACTTTTATCAACAGCTGCCTTCGTTCCATTTTGAAGATCAGGCGATCAGCCAGAGAGGATTAGCAACACGGAACTCTAGCAACCCACCAACAAATAATCTGTTTCTTGAGCATCAAACAAGCTGAGGGAAGCGGAGTTTGAACGGGAATACGCTGAGGAAACTTGAGTGACATCTCACGTCAGATAGGTTCCAAGTTGAATCCAAGTGTGAAGCGATGAGTTGGATATGGGTCCAAGGATGACATGGACGATATCGTGTGAAGAGGAGATGAAAGTCTTCGGCCAGTTTTGGGACAGACCAAAACGAACTAGAGAGAACAGTATGAAACGGAAATGTACTGCCGAAGCCCTATGTGCCATTCTAAGCCTAAGGGAATAGTAATATTTGCAATAATAATAATACGTTTATTGGTTACAGTTCAGAGTTCATATAATGTTCTGTGAGCCTATGTTTCATTGTCAAAGTTTCATCATCAGACTTAGTAACATGTTCAACTTATACCTTACTAAGTCATAATGCTGAGAATTCTACCCTAAATCACAAGTACTGTTTTCGGATAAGGCAATTCATTATAAATTCAATTTTAGATTTTCCCGTCGATTGATTGGACCAAGCACTTCAGTCCAATCAATCGACGGGAAAATCTAAAATTGAATTAAACAACTAATATAACCCTTTGCACAAGAGGTGACTCTCGCGTCCCAAGTGGTCTAGTAGATAATGCTTTGGCATATGAAACTATGGTCACTGGGTTCAAGCCTCCGTAGGAACATCATCACTCACTGCGGAATAGAGGTACATCTAGCTGACGAGTCCCAAATAGGAGGAAATGCGCTTCCTGGATTCCATTGCTAGTCGCCATCCACCAATTAACTTCTAATCAGTTCATTATTATTTCTGTAAACAAATCACTTTACAGGTGGAGTATGTCATATATGTGGTTTCTTAATACGTGAACTATCACTATTGACGACTGAATAAACAAACTGCCATCTAGAAGAACATATTAGTGCTGTATGACCGTACTTTATTTTCAAAAACTACTGCACAGTGATGTGTAGAACTATTTAGCGTGTAAGGCAAAACACGAAACATTTCGCCATCGCTTCAATCGAGAAATTTTATGTGTCAACGTTATTTAACTTTTCGTTTTGTTTTCAGTTGATGTTTCACAAGACATGACTAACTTTCCTTTTTTGTTTTCTTTATCAAGGTAAAAATGATTGGTTCGGTGCCTTTATAGATTCTGATTCAACGCTAAATAATGCTAGTAGTATGTCGACAACATCAACATTTCCAGTTATACGTTCAAGATGTGATGTCAAGTCGTTAACATACTGTGACCTGCATTATATTGATTTGATTACATTAAGTGAAATATTAAATCAACATCCACGCTTTAAAGCAGAGTTGAAAAGTTACTTGTATGAGGATTTATCATTCAATATACAAGAAGGAGCTGTAAGTTCTTACAACTCTACTTATCGTTTTGGTATTTATATATATCGAAATGCAGTTTGAGTTCGTTGCATTAAAATAACTACCTTTTTAGGCTCTCTGTTTACAACCAAAATTTGAATACATTACCTGAGAATAACAGCTGAGACACTGCTATCTGTTGTTATTTAATATTGAAATCAAGTTCTGGTTGTAGAAACACCCGCCTAATTTTCGAAATATCTACATATCACTCGTTTGGTTGCAGCTGATAGTAGAATCTGGGATGTGAGTTTAGTCAATTAGCTGGAAGCAACAGCCCCCACCCAGTGAGTGACAGTGTTCCCACATAGATTCAGACCCAGTACAAATCGCTTAAAAATCCAAATCGTTATCCCCTAGGAGGATATAACTACTCACTAGTACGTAGGTGTATCCAACTGAAAAGTCTCAAACAGGATGAGGTCTGCGTCCTAGATTTTATTGCTTGTCACTACCATATATGTCCAAACCAAGTTCACTTTTAACAGTTTGAAAAAATTTGGTCATTGGGTATATGATATTCATTATAATAAAGGTTTTTGTATTTCCCAATGAATGAAAAACAAAACGATATTGTTTTTACTGACGTTTCGCTATTTAATGCTAATACCTTTATCAAAGTATTATTAAACCAGAATTTACAAAATCTCAGCATATATATAACAAAGAGTTAAGGGGTGAGAAAATAGACTTAGGTCAAGTTAAAAGGACATATTGAAAGTTAAAATACCAATGAAGATCACTAAACCAAATAACAAAGGTAATTGAAATGAACTGTCGTCAAGATTTGACAGAATAGTTCTAAATTATTTGGGCGCCGAGTGAGAAGTAGACATTTGTAAAAAATTATATTTGTAAAATCTCAGCGAGATTGAAATGAGTAATTCCAACGTTTTGTTCGGCAATCTGGTCCGAACTTCTTCAGGGAAATTAATCGAAAATAACATAATAGACGTTTATAGAAAAATTAATCTGATGGTCGCTAGTGACTTGCTACAGGATGGAGTTTCCTGGAGTTCTAGTGAGAAGTCGTGACCAGTGAGGTCCAATTAAAAGGGACATCACTTGTTTTTGAAAACTTTGTCCAATCATGAGTCATTCAACAAGTATAATAAACAAAATTTTATGAGCTGTGATCAAAATTTGACCTCGGACTTACAAATATTGGTCTACCTTTGCTAAGCACTTTAAACAGAGTGTGTATGTGTGTGTGGGTAAACAGTTGTAAAACATTTCTTAACGTCTCCATAAGAAGATATGGACAGTCCAGAATTTTGACCAAGTATTAATAATTAGTGATACATATCCATTTTTCATTTACTAATAAGGATTTCCTATGCATCAGCTAACATCACGCCTTCATGTCTGTTCAAACTGTTAGTATCTAGAATTTTATGATGAGACGTATTTTCAAAATTATGGTGTTTGGGATTAGAGTTTAGTAGAAGCACCCTGTCGGACTTATTGCTTTGTCTTCCTTCTGAAGATTGAGCTGCTTTACTCGACTTACTGGAGTTGTCAGGTGACTCGACAGCTATGGATGTAGGATATACATTCTGTTCCAGACAACGGAGAGCGAAAACACGATGATTATGCCAATTACACAGTTTCTTTGTTAATTTAATTCGATTGCAAAATAACTGAAATGAACTGTCGTCAAGATTTGACAGAATAGTTCTAAAATATTTGGGCGCCGAGTGAGAAGTAGACATTTGTAAAGGTAATAGTACATCTGTCATGGTATCAAAATAAAGATTACTAACTTGATCATCGTCCGTTAGTCTCGGGTCATTTTTCGTTGTCAAGTTGGTCATGTGGTAAAGACAATAAAATCAAGTATAGATTGTTGGATTTGATCAATGTTTAAAATTATAAAGGCTGTGTGTGTTTACATAGTGAACTTGCTTATCACATTCGTGTTGATTTTGTCACTTCATGGGGGAGTGGAGGGAGGTGTTGTAACCAGGTCAGATTCTGTTTTAGTCCATCATTCCTATTCAGGCAATTTGGATTCCACTTGATATGAAGTGCTTCTGATATTAGTCGTTCTTTATGATATGTGAAGTTTTTCTGGATTATTTCGATAGTGTCAAAATCAATTTTCTGACCTGATTCTATAGCATGTAGACCTGTGGCTGATGATTTTTCAAGTTTTTCCAGTTCAATTGGATTTCTCGGTGGTCGAAGAGATGCTCTACTGTGTTCATTTCTAATGATTTTGATTTCTCACTACCAGCTAAAATGAATAAATAGTATCTATATACCTAATGCAGAAACAAAGGGAAGCAGATGACTGGAAATTTAAGGGGAAAATCAATAAAAATGACCTTCTCAATCAAATTCGCTATTGGAAAATTACACAGTTTGATGTGAAATTTTACCACAATTTCCTTTCGAAACCGAAATTATTCAAATCATAATACTTGATCTGCTCGATCCCATGAATACTAATCAAGACTGTAAGCATAAATGTGGAGAATTATATACTGTTGACTGATGTGGTTATTTTGATACAAATTGCATCAACCTGTTGTGGATGCTAGTCAGATTAAATTGGCCTAAACGTGATATGGTCGTTTGACTCATTTGGAGTCGAGCTCATCAGCGGTGTACCGGTTTGACTCATCTGAGAGAGCTGAATCAGTTCAGCTAGCCACTTGGGCAAACTGATGAATACGACAAATCGAAATCGAAATTTCCGAATTATAAATAGAAATCTAGTAAAACAAAATTAAATGAATTTCACTGGTATCCATTATGAGTCACCACCATGCTAAAAAGTTTGAATCGTACTTTAGATGATCATAGTAACAAGGAGATATGTGTATCGTTCCATACATTTGCCGTTATTAACACCTTTTCGAATAATTTATGCACTAAACGACACGAAGACACTTATTTTCAACTTCAGTCATTGTTATTATTATCAGTGTTATCATGCATCTTTAGCAGATCGGTACTCGTTTTAAAGTTTCAAACGCATTCATTTTTATCATTTTGTTATTTTCAGGAGAATTTCTATTCAAGTGATGTGATTACAGTCCCAGCGATCACATTACAACTAGCCAACGATGATGATAAAGACTGGGATAGTGAAGAAACTAAACTCAACATAATCGATGAAGTAGAAAGTCTAAAACCGCCAACCTTTATTTTTGATAGCAAAGGTCGTAGTTGTAGTCTAACATCATACGATGAAGAATCTGGTCTGTTAAACATCCATTCAAATAGCCAGTCCAATTCTGAGTTGACAACTAATCAGTTGACAATAACAACTAGAAATGAAGAAAGACCATTGGGCAAATCACCATCTCCTGTAACAGGCTACAGCTTATCCCACTATCCAAGACGTTTACAGTCTTCAGATAAAATTTCATCAAGACGTAAATTTTTTATTACAAAATCATCGAAATCCTCAGGATGTTCAAGTAATGTAGACTTGGCACAAAAATCAGTTGAGCACAAAGTACCATCTATAGGCACTCAAGTTGTTCAAGCACCAAGCGTAAGTCAGAATGATACCAAATCTATAAATGATGAAAGCTTTTCAAAATCTGAACAAAATCGTCGACATACAGTGCCAACAGTTCAAGCACAAAATCCACCCTTGAAATCATCAACAACAACAAATTCCGCTGGAGTAAATTCACCCAGTCCACAACATCGTAACTCTGAAGACCATAATACAGTTGATACATGGCTGTTTTCAAATCAGTCAAGTGGTACTCAATCGAATGATGAATATTGTTTCCCTTATATCAGGTCAACATATTCTTTATCTAAAAACTGTACTACTAGTGAAAATAACAGTAATAATAATAATGTTCATGATAATAATAACAGTAATATTAATAGTTTACTACCTGGCCAGTGTCTTTCAATTCCCAATTTTTCTACTGGTGTACGTGAAAGATTAAATGTAAATTTATCCAATTATTCAGAGACTACAATTCCACAGTTAGTAATTAATAAACCTATCTGTGAATCTGTACAGCTTCCTCAATTCAGATTACGTAATAATAGTAGTAATAATATTGGTATAACGCCAACATCAAATCTGTAAGTACTTTTTTTCATTCTACGTATATATTCAAATTCTAAGCAATTCTTTCTTTTTTTGTAAATTTTTGATACTTCTTTTACCTCATTTTTGACTAGATGTCTGGTATGCAGTCGTGTCATCTCGTCGTTGGATGGTTGCATGTTATTGTGTAGATTTTAAGTACTCACCATTTTATCTCTTCCAGTCCTGAATCGAAAATGGGGCTTCAAGCCTTGAAGTTTAAGTAGCAGTCGTTTTATTCTTCTTTTACATGATGAAGTTGCTAGCTCCATGTCCAACCTTCCCTGTTCACCCTGCTTACCACCGGTTTAGTAAGGTTTAAGAGTGCATCGGTGCAGAATCAAACCCCGGACCACGTGGATGGCTGACAAGCCTTATACCTTGATCTGTATGCCTTAGGTATTTTAACAAGGCATAACGTCATATTCGTAGAAATTTCAGAGATAATGAGACTAATAATTTCAACATTTAGTTTGGTAAACTATTCGAAAACGTCCTCATAGAAATGATTCTTGAAGAAGTTTTTGGAACAAAATGACGGTATTGTTTATTTCAACATTTATTTTTTTCACAATACTCAGAGTCTGTTGGACTATGAAATCACACTGCAATCAGAGCTCATGTGAATTATTTTTTTAAAGTTTACTCTGCTCTCACATCTAGTTACAAAAAGGATCAATTTTCTCTGAGAATTAGTACATTTCTATAGCATTGCATAATCCACTTTTAAAGGAGCAAAGACTAGTAGTAAATTTTTTTATAACTTTATTGAATACTGTAGATACGCTTCGCTGTCAACAGCCAGCAATCTTCCCAACTGTCAGTCTACGTCATACACTTGTTCGCTTCTTTGAATTTGAATAAAGCAAAAGTTAAGTTGTTTGCAGGGTAAGGGGGTGCTATAATTTATTTCGTCGGCTTGTCATCAGTTGCGTACAGACGGAAAAACTTTCGTTAAGTTTACAGACCAATGTGACATTATGTCAATCAACAGTAAACCCTAAAATTAATAATCAGTGCTCAGAAATTATACTTATATAATTTGTAAACAAAAATTTTAACTTTAAAAGAAAACCAAAAATATAATAAATGTTCGGATATGATGAAAAAGGAGCTGCGTGATAAAGAGAAGAGGTAGGTAAGATGATAAGTAACTAATAAGTTGCATAACAGTGTGGCCGATACAACTCATATCACAGGAGCAAAGGGCAAGCTGAATTCCGTCATACAGAAAGGGAAAGAGGTCAAAACCAAAGATTTAGTAGTCACATAAACGACATAGGATAGAGACATCCAGTCATCAGGGCATGAAAAGACTGACAACTGTTTTTTTCTGAACACAAAAGTCAGTTGTCAAGCGTTTTATAGCAACTGCTTGGGCAAACTTGAAAAGAATCGAACTATTTGTCGATTGATAACTTTAAAGGACTTTATGCTGTCCACTTTATGACCTGTATCAGTGACATTCCTGGCAATGGCACTATTGAAAGTGATTGTTCCCTAGGAACACAAAGTTTCGGTACATATCTACATCGGATAATCTGGTTAATTTTCCTATCGATGCTGAAACATTTCATGAATATTTGTAATGAATTTGCAGCACAAGATTTTTTGATGTTGTAGGCTTTAAGATGTCATGTGTTTCAGTAAGCATCAAAACTTACCATGATAAAAGTTCATGATATTACTAAAAATGCGTTTGGTGCTTGTCTGCAGACAAATTACTCTACAAATAACAAGTAATCGAAAGGTAATCACTATAGATGCATCACAGTATGTGACACTTGAACATTTTGAAATAATGATGGGGATATCTAGTTTAGGGGAATGTTTTTTTTAAATGTGGTTTTGTTATATGAGGTGGCTGATTTAGTTTCGAAGCCTTCGTCATTCTTCAAGACAACATCTTCAGTGAGTGAAGAGAGTTTTTAAGAATTCTGCACAATTGATATGACTGTCACACCTGATGAGCTTGGCTTTGAAGGGTTATCTATGGGGGTTTTATTATCCTTGTGTCAGTTTTGCATTGGTATAGATCGTTCCATTGGTGGGACTTGTCGACTCAAAAGAGATATTTCATATGGAAAAAAGGGTCAAGAAGAACAAAGTTCCAAGTCAGTGAAACAACTGATACCCATACAAACTAACACAAGGATAATGAAGTTTCTGTATACAGACAGTCACAGCCAATGTTATCATGACAGACAGTTATATCACTTATGCAGAATTCCTAAAACCTTACTCCTTTGATTTAGGTAAGCACTGAATATACTGTCTATTAGAACAATGAAGGCTTTACAGCGAAATCACTCAGGTCGGATGACAAAAATACATCAAACGAAGTTTAAAATATATATTGACGGATGTAGATCCTCATTTTTCTAGACTACCTAGACATAAACAGGTTTAGATAAAGCAGAATTCAGATACATATAAATTAATTTATTTGAATAGTATACTTACATGTCCCATACTTTCAATTTCTGAAGGAAGTTCAGATAATAGTCCCCAACTAAGTACACTTCAGACAATGAACAAATCAATAAATGATCTCATTCATTACACCACAGAAATTATTGTCTAGTCTCACGTCTCTTCATGAACAAACATTATTTAGAGTTCATTGGAAGCCATGTAGCCCTGGGTAGCTATTCAGTCTTAATTTGGGACTGTGAAGCTGTGTGGACAAACCACCTCACCAGGGACCGAACCTGGGACCTTCAGGTTCTGAGACCAAGCTAGTTGACCGTTCAGCCACTTGTGTCAGGATTCAGTGACCTGTGAGTTCTATCTTTGTCAACTCGTGATAAAGTACTGCACTTACCAGTGCGATTGATGAACATCCAGTTGACAGGGTGGACCCATCTGGCCACAACTCCCCTTTCCAGCTTTGGGAAATCCATCTAACTGAGGTTGGCTAGTGACACAAATCGAACAAATGAAAATAATCCACAATCCATACAAATCTGATAATCTGAATATTATCTAGTCCATATATGATGAGGTGAGAGGGGATGTGTGGAGTAGCTTGGACAAGAATAATAAAAAATTAGTTCAGTTGACATAACAGTGAATATGAAGAAAGTTGAAAATAAGTAGAGCGATTACACTACCACAAAATTAAATACATTTCAGTATTCCAGTTCCTAGAGGGATATAGGGCTTCAAGCAAGACCTTTAAAGTCTCAGTAGCCTTGGTGTTTCATTTTACACGGTAGATTTTTCTAGCCTCATGCCCAACGTCCTCTCTTTTATCGGTCTTATTGCCAGCTTAGTGAAGTTTAAAGAGTGTGTCGGCTGGGGATCAAACTCCGAACCGCATGCGTGGTTGGTGAGCAATCTACCGCTGTGCCATCGACGCATGGGATTCGGTTAGCACACTATTATTAGTGTAATAAGTAGTGACTTAAAATCTGTCGCGAAGTAGGATTCGAAAAATCAGCCTCCATATGCTGGACAATTCTGAATTCAAGAGTTCTGACTAATACATAGCACAAATTACGCCAAGAAAGTATCCTGCTTACTTATTATTTATTAGATTTATTCCAGACTCAGTCAACTGCCCTTCGCAACATGTGATGTGTTTGTCTGTATAAAATCAGCTGTACCCAAATGCATCTAACTATTAATAACACAGGGGCGTTTTTTTTTAATTGAATGGCGCTAACATTGGCTCCCGTAAATATGAGAATTTGTAATTCTTTCACTTAAGCTTCCAGATTTAATTTTAAAAAATGAATCATTTTTATTATTCAACAATCAGCTGTCTGGTTCAGGATAGAATTTCAGCTAATAGTCTCGATTTTAGTGATTAAATGTCCCGTTTACTAAGTTGGAAACCCATACGGCTAACTGTCCTCCAAGTGTTTTCCTCCATCTACCATACGAATAAACGATAAAAATATTCCTAAGAATTTATTTGTTCATATTCAATGGGATGGGATATAGGCAGTACCCTATTGAATCATGGTTAAAATTACCCGCATGTTTCGGGTAGGTCAGAAAAGGAATTGTCACAGAATAACACAGGAAACGCATCGTCTCAACTACAGGCAGAACGGATGAAGATGTCAAACACAGCCTGGATTGGAAAAGCAAGGCACACTGGTGTTCATCGCTCTGAAATCTACTACACTTAGAATTAGGAAACAAGTTCCGGATCTTCAACACCAGTATCGTCAGTCACCGCTTCCATATGGTGCACAAACTCGGTACTCATTATCAGCATTTCCATCAGCCTGATAGAGATTTTCATCAACAGTTACCATCTCTGTCTTAATATTGAAGATCACGTGTTATGTCGGAAGGGATAAGTAAAAAGGAAATCTAGCAGTGAACCAACCAACAACCTTTTACCCAACAGATATAGAGAATGAAATCGATGTGGAGTGGACGTGAGATGAGCATACCGTTGAGTAAAATCATAGTCCAGGCCTCCAAATGGAACCATTTGAGCTAACAGTCATTGAAACAGTTAAATCATCAGCGTACTTCACAAAGTTTATTTCATCAGACTGAGGCAAGTCATGTAAGAAGAAAGAAAAAAGAAAAGGAGAAAGGACAGCGCCTCGAGGGACACCAGCTTCAGTAGGCAATGAAGTGGAAGACTTCCCTTTATACACGGTGTACTGCTTTCTTTCTGAGAAATAGGAATGTAACCAGTTAACAGCCCAACATTCTGTTTGACTTGCAGCAAGTTTATTTAATAAGATGTCCCTAGGGACCGATTCAAAAGCAGATGTATAGTCTAGGAAGGCACAACGAACAAATTTAGCCTCTTTGTCTAGACTGGAAGCAATGTTATGATATAAGACGGCAGCTGCATCTAAAGTGCTTCTACTGTGCTTATAGGCAAATTGTTTTGGGTCATTAAAGGATTTAGGAGAGGGTATAAGACTAAGTAAAGGTAGTTTCTCCATAGTTTTCAAAAAAGGAGAGGTAATAGCAATGGGTCTAAATTTGACACATGCTCCAGTAGACGATTTAGGTATGGGTACAACTTTAATGTCTTTCCAAACAGCAGGCACAATATTACTGGAAAAAGATTTGTTAAACAGATCAGTGAGAGGGTAACACAGAATGTCAGAACATTTTTTAAAAATAATACTAGGTACATGATCTGGACCTAAGCTCTAGGAAGGGTTCAGAGACTTGAGGCACTTTTGAACATCATTTGTGTTAAAACCTGGAAAGGGGCTATTATTAACACTAGTGATACTGGGAAGCATGGAATTTGAGGGAGAATAAATAAAACATTTATTAAGAGTACATACATCAGAAGAATACGGAATATTGTTTATCTGCTTACCACCAGTGATTTCCTTAAATAGTTTCCACATATTTGAAGCATTTTTGCAAGATATGAATTTCTGATTATATATAACATTCAATCTCTGCATTTCAGACTTGATAAGGAAGTTAGTTCTTTTTACACCACCTTTATCTTTCATTTTATATAGCTTTTCCTTCTCTCTACGAAGCCTTTCAAGTTGAGCTAACTCTGTCTTCCCCTGTCAGTCCTGATCACAGTGAACTGGAAGGAGAGGGGATCATGGTCTAACAACCACCACCCATTACCAAGGATATCTCATGTAACCTCACCAACTGTTTATGAAGTAATTAATCTTTACTGTTATTATTATGATTTTCAATTGTTTTTATTTCATTTCTTCTTTTCAGTTGTCTGTACACAACAAATACATCGCCTGTCAATTCAATATGGTCGTGTACAAATGAATGTAATCAAACTTTTAATAATTATAATCGATATCCATCTCCAAATCGATCAAATCTACTTGGCAGCAGTTTACATGATATTAATTTAATTAGTGAATTACGTAGTTTAAACAATCGTCTTGAATGCATAGAAGTACAATTTACAAAACTATTTAAATTATTAGAATCAAAACAATTTTTATAAAAACAAAATTTAAACAAACAGAAAACCTAATTTAAATCATCAATCATCATCTTTATACTTTTTGTTCATTTTTATTTAGCATTCTTATGTGTATTTTTTCATAATTTATCTATACTACTTATATATATGTTTGAGTATGTTCTCCTCTTGATTATTTCGATAGTGTAACTTAAACAAACCAAAATTGAAAAAAATGACGTTCTATGTACACATAATTCAGATTTTCAATCATTTTCTTATTGAATCTATTAGAGATCAGTATAATCCCAATACATTTCACATATCTGAGAAAAAACGAATATTCACAAATATTAATATATATACACAGCTAAATAGTGCATTGTTCTGTAAAGAATATTGTCCATCGGTTATGTTATTGAGGGCACCATAGGACTCAAAGGCTCTATTGCTGACCACATGCCTCCAGTTCCTCTTCATACGACCTGCTGTAAGTCAGAGTTCCTTATTGCCTGTCCTCCTTAACGGACATCTGATCTTCAGCATCGAGTGAAGGTAGATGTTTATATACGTCTTCTGCAAACTACTGGAAGTGTTCTTGGTGATGCACCAGGTCTCTGAACAATACAGAAACAATGAATTCACATTAAAGTTGCAAATGCGTATATTGTTTCTTGTTCTGAGTACTGTAGATCTCCAGTCTGGTTTCGGAGTAATTCAAGCCTGTATTGCTTTCTTGAACAGATCCTAGCTGGCGTTGACGTCCTCATTCATGCCCTCTGTATTTGTAACTCTGTTTCTCAATGGTCAATTAGATGAAAGATAAAACTCCCTTCAAATATCTCTCATGGATGATGAATAATATTTGTTGTGATTGGTCTGGTAACTTGATTGCCTACGTCTTCCCTATGTTCCCATAAAATCCTGCCTTCGCTACCTTTTCTGCAGTTTGTTGAATTCCTTTTCCATATCTTCGAATGTGTGAGATTCAACCTAGAATTCTAGATAATCTATTGTCTTTTCCTGGGTCAAAAGTATGTTTCTCTTTCCAATCTTCACTGTCTACCATATGATCTAGTCCACAAAAATGGGAAAGATCACTGGTGGTACTAGGTGGCTTCGTCTTATTTCTGTCTTCACTTCAAACGCTTTGGTGAGGTTGCCGTTGTGAAATACTTGATGTGCGATGTCATCATGTGGCTACTAAGTGAGGTCTATAAATTTTTGCAGTACTCGACTCAGTAGTTTTGGAGGAGCTGTCAAATTACTTCGTGTTTGGCGCTATCAAGTGTCCTTACAGGGTCATTGGTGTGACAGTCATTCCACGCTCTGTGACTGTTCTGGCATACGTACTATATCCAAAGATAATGGAAGAGTAAAAGGAGCTAAAGAAAGAAAGAATATAGTTGTTTACAATCCATCAACAACATCCTGCTGATTATTTCATCTAAGAGAATAAATAATCGGTGCAGATACAACTTATTATGAGTTAGTTTTATAAAAAATGAATGCTTCCATCCATCTCTATTAATTCATAGCTTTTCTTTGTATAAAGCAAATTGAAACAAAGATTTACTTATGAATACACATTAAGAGAGAAAAGGTTTAACCTGAAGAAGAAGAATTAATTAAATTCGCACCTTTCGTTTATTATACTGTTTAAGTAGAAAACTATACTCATCATGGGAAAATTACGCAGTCCGAGTTGAACTCAACTCAACACTTGAAGTACTCAAATCGCTGATTCGACCAACCAAAACCCAGTTAAATCAGATACGCCGGTGAATAGCTCGATTATAAGCTAGTGCACATACCCTCCAGTAATTTGACCTCTTCGATTTGGCTAGCTAGCACTACTGTAAGATCTGAGTGGTCTCCAACTACCCATATTAACCAGTAGTATATATAGTAATGTTACATAAGCAAAGAAAGGAACAGAGGATAGCAAATAATTCAGCGTAAAGTCTGTTTTCTACACAGCATTCGCTAAGCTGCAAACTCACGTTTATGCATGGAATTTGTGAGCAAGTCTGTATGTTGCGTTGACTTATTAAAGCCGTTACTCGGGCAATTTGCAAAAATATTAGAAAATTCTTAGAGCTGTTGAAATTTTCTCATCTTCTTTCATTTCGTATTTGAAAGGTAGGTCTTCAGTATTTGAAGATTCACTCGGCTTTCCGTTTTTCTTAAAGAGTGATTTTGCTAGCCTAACCGACAACCTTCTCTTTAAACCAGGCTTACCATCGGCTGGTAAAGTGGGTAAGTGCTAAAAGTTTAACCACGAAACCCTTATATAGCTGGAAATCATACTACTGTTGAATCGCCGGAGCAGAGTTCTTCGTAATGGAGACTAGTCAAAGTGTAACTGAAAGTCTGTGGGGGTTAATGAGTTGTAATCATAGATCACATAATATTGAAATTATAATTTCAAATTTGACGTATGGGCTAAGAGCAGAAGAACTGACAAGAATTATATTTTGATATTTGGAGAATTATCAAGTGACTAATCACTTTAATATATCAATACACTGCATATATTAACTGATGAACTATTTGGAAAGGTGATTATGCAGCTAACTGAATGAACAGAATCTTCTCTAAACTACTCAATCTTTTCATAACAGGGTTGGGAGCAGTCGGCAGGAACCCCGACTCATGAGTCCTGAATATTTTACAGAGTAAAACTGAGATGTTATATGAGTATTAACGTACTGAGACTAGATGATGCGTTTTTATACAAGATAACATTCAGTTTCCAAATCTGGATGGAGTTAGATTTATACCATAGAATTATTGGTTGAAAACCAGGTGCCTAAACAACTTGATCACAGCTTCATTATTGAGAAAAATCCCGTATTAAAATATAATTCTAGTTTTGAATTAACAGGATGGGTTTCACTCATACGATTCCTGTGCTCTCAATAATTCAACACGTATACAAACATGAGTACAATAGGTACGAATTAATGATCGCTAATGTAAATAAAAAAGATTCACAGATAGGCAGCGTACAGGGTATCCCTGTTCAACACTTCCTTTATGCGGTCGTAATCTAAACACTGACCATCCATTTTACCTTAAGTCCCTGGAGAAATACAAATCTTCTTTTGTCCTGCTTACGAAGACGATAAGGCCTTCTTACTCAGCTCTTAAGGTAGAATATGTGTAACTATGAGAGCTTCTTAAATCTTTGCTAAAAGCGGAGGAGACAATGTCACCAAGGTGCTTGGCCTCAGCTATTATTCTTCAAATTTCTTCTAATATGAATAGATTAATTAACCGAGAATGACTGCTCTTAATTGGTTTTAAAGTTTACCCGTTAAACACTGCTTCTAACTGTTAGATAGAATAGTCTATAAAAGTGAAGACGGATATTAACTACGGCTTGTCGCCTGCTAGAAACTCTCTCACACGGTAAAATATATGAAATTAAGTAATGTGAGAACTTTCTATTTACTAAGTGTTAGTTGAAGTGGTACAGCTCATTTACGTATTAATTTTCCCTTAGAGAAGATAAACACCGTACTCAAGAGGTAGTAACTTTCCGTTTTTAAATTGCCTAATTTAGAAAATAAATGTCTTAGAGTGAGCTAACACAACTGAATCCTAATAAATTATCTATACAAGCTAGAAAGGATAAGCAACTAAGAAACTCTTCCCCCAATAAATGCACTAAAGAAAGTGGATATAGATTGGATAAAGGCTGAGGAGACGCTGAGTGACAATGCGCACCTGTGCTTCTATTGGAGCCCGAATGGAAAACAACGCTTCTGGCTTCCGGGAATGACATAAGGGAGATCAAATAGCGAGAAGATGAAAGTTTATGGGCAGTCGTGGAGCCAACTGAAGGAAACTGTAAAGGACAGAATGAAGTGAAGATGTGGTGCTGAATCCCTACGTTCCACTGGGAACCTAAGGGAATACTAATTCAGGTATTGGTTACAGAATTTCATCATGAACTGACATCGGTTAGAGAACCATGGAGTTTGAAACCTTGGAGTGCTGGACAGCTGTTTCTTCCGTCCTAGTATTGGACTCTTCAGCAGTATGCACCCACTGCCAGGGTCAGAGCTCAGGACCTTCCTGTTACAAGGCAACCTCGTAGACCATCAAGCTACTGGTACCCGACCCAATGGCCAATGAATTCCAACTTCTGGCAGTTCACGATAAAGCGCGACCGCTAGCCAATAATTATTTTTATTTTCTGTAATTATGCGTTTAAAATTCATCACCAGGACCAAATAATGAAGCCCTGAATTAACACTTTTATACTGCCGCGGTGTGAAAATCAACGCCAAAAATTTTTGATGACATCAGTGTAATCCATTGAATATATCTGCCATCCTAGGATACACTCTAGCCGAATACTCAGATATCAAAGCACTTTCCCCTAAGCTGCTGAGAGTTTTAATACTATCACTTGACAAACAAATATGCTTCTAAAAATCAGCTGTTTGTTTTGTTTGTCCAAAAGTATGTCTGTTTACATGTCTTCTCAATTCCGATATTCAGTAATTGCCCGCCAAATGAACAGATTAACAGTAGCAAAATAGAAAAAAAAGCAAACATGTAGAAGATCAGCTGATACAATGCAAATAAATGTTCAACTGTGATAACATCAATCCTTTGAAAAAAACACCAGATAAAATATGCATAGAGGACATTTTGAATGGATATACAATGATACTCAGGAGATTAGTTTTATCAAGAAAAGAATAAAAATATTATTATAGATTTTTATATATATGGTAACGTTCAATGATATGAAATCGATAAAGCATACTTCCTATTAAATCAGTTAGTTTTTATATTCGATAGCGATATGCTCAAGTGACTTATCAATTGCCTAAACTTAATACTTCCCTTAGGTTTGCTTTCAATGGTATATTTCAGTATGGTATGTGAAGAAATTAAGTGGTGAGTTCAAGATAGGGTAAGATCCAAGAGAGAAACAGATGATAGGTTCTAGACTTGATAAACCATTGTCACTTGAAGTCCACTCGTAGCTGCTTTCTAAATATGGTATAATGGTTCATGTCATTTGTCTCAAGATGCACCACTTATTTCTTCCCCTATGCCTTCTC